TAAAAAATACCCTAAACCCTATAAACTCTAGAATGGGAACCTCATCTCAAAATCCCTAAACCCTAAACCCCTTGGAGTCCTCCTCCAGCGCGCTGATGTGGGCACTGGCTCGGTCGTAGCGCCGCAGGAGGTCCTGGCGGGTGTCTCGGGCTCACAACCCTAAACCTGAACAAACCTCTGCAAACTATATGTGTATATATATATACATATATATATATGCTACCAAACCTGAACAAACCTCTGCAAACTATATGTGTATATATATATATACATATATATATATATATGCTACCCCCCCCGATGTACCTACCCTTTTTGGGCTGAATTCATAGAATATTCTGTGTTTCTCCCTATCTCTCCCCTCCACCCCAAGATCCCGCAACGCGCGGTCGTTGTTTTTTTTTGGGGGGGTCCCACAACAATTCAGCAGAAGCGACCTGAACAATTTGCTCGTGGATTGCATGCTGTGATTTTAAAAGTCCGATCAAATTTAATTAACAGGGTTCATAGGATTCGTTTTATTTTAATAGGGTTCTCATTAAAATGAATAAGAAACCTTTTAAAATGAATGAGAAACCTTAATTCTAATAAATTCAATAGGAACCCTATTCAAATGAAAAAGAACAATACTGAAGTTGATAGGAATCGTATTAAAGTTGTAGGAGCCTTACTGACACAAATGGGACAACTTTATGGAATCCTAGAAACAACAATGGGAATCCTCTATTTAGATCCATAGGAACCCTATTTTAAATTATTCGGAGCCTCTGTCAACATTTTCGCAGAATTAACAGGATTAATAGGAATCCTATTAAACTGAAGAGGAACCCTACTCAAATTAATAGGAACCAATCGGACTCCTATAAGAAATAACGTGAACCTTTGGAAAAATAATAGGAATCCGATTAAAATGAACATGAGCCTAAACCAACAGGAATCCCTTGAAAACTTGAAAGTGAGTGAGATCCCGTTTAATATTAACACGAACCCCATTAACATGAATAAGAACCTGATTAAACTTGATAGGACTCTTATTACAAAAAATAGGAGCCTTATTAAAAAATAGGAACCCTATGAAACTTTATTGGGATCACTCTGAAAGTAAATAGGAATCCTCTATTGAATTATCGGAAGCGGACAACAGTTAATAGGAAGGAAGCCTATTAAAATGAATAGGAACCCTTAACAAGTTAGAAAGAACCCGGGTTACAATTCACAGGAATGCTATTAAAACGAGAAGGAATCTTTCTAAATCAATAGGAACCAATAGGCCTTAAAAAACAATAGATTCCTTTAACAAGAACTGATAGGAATCCTACTAAACTAGTATGAGCCTAATCCAATAGGAATCCTTTAAAATTCATGAGAATCCTATGCGAATCCCAGCAACAAGCATAAGAATCCTGTGAAAATTGATAGGAACCTTATTAAATTGGTAGGAGCCTTAGGGCGTGATGTCTTAAGATATGTTGCAAAGGTACAGTTTTAATATAGATATTAGGTCTTGCTTATCGGGGGATGATTGTTTGAGATATCGTAGCTATGGTATAGTTTTTAGGACAGATGTCATGTCTTGCGTATTGGGGCGTGATTGATTATAAGGAGGTTTTGGTACTCTCTCGAGATTTTGCAGGATTCAAGTTTGTTGCTTGGTACTACCTCGAGAAATGGTGGCTGGGAGAAAGCATCAGATCACGAAAATCATGGAAAACATTGGTTTTACCAATGTTTTTGAAGGATGGAGCCCGAAAACATCGGCAAAACCAATAATTTCCAAAAAATCCATGGTCTTCAAACCATGTTGCTGGCAGCACGAAATTCATGGATAACATTGGTTGTACCAATGTTTTTCATAGATGAAGCCCGAAAACATCGGCAAAACAAATGTTAACCATAAAACTCATGGTTTTCAAACCATGTGGCTGGGAGCACCCAATTCACGGATAACATTGGTTCTACCAATGTTTTTGAAGGATGGAGCCCGAAAACATCGGCAAAACCAATGTTATCCATAAAACCCATGGTTTTCAAACCATGTGGCTGGCAGCACCCAATTCACGGATAACATTGGTTCCACCAATGTTTTTGAAGGATAGAGCCCGAAAACATCGGTAAAACCAATGTTATCCATAAAATCCATGGTTTTCAAACCATGTGGCTTAGACCACGAAATTCATGGATAACATTGGTTTTGCCGATGTTTTTGGGTCCCATCCTTCAAAAACATCGGTAAAACCAATGTTATCCGTGAATTGGGTGCTCCCAGCCCCATGGTTTGAAAACCATGGATTTTATGGACAACATTTGTTTTGCCGATGTTTTCGGGCTCCATCCTTCAAAAACATTGGTAAAACCAATATTATCCGTGAATTGGGTGCTCCCAGCCACATGGTTTGAAAAACCATGGATTTTTTGGAAATTATTGGCTTTACCGATGTTTTCGGGCTTCATCTATGAAAAACATTGGTACAACCAATGTTATCCATGAATTTCGTGCTGCCAGCAACATGGTTTGAAAACCATGGGTTTTTTGGAAATTATTGGTTTTACCGATGTTTTCGGGCTTCATCTATGAAAACATTGGTAAAACCGATGTTATCCGTGAATTTCGTGCTGCCAGCCACTCTTCCCTCGTCGTTCGTGTGAGCAGAATACCGAAAATCGAAACCGTCGAGACAACAAAGCAACCAAATAAGCAGAAAATGGTAGGTACATGGGGGGGGGCACCATATATATATATATTTGATTAACCTTACCACTCGTAAGTTAGAAGTGCGGCTCGCATGCGAAGATGTTGCCTACGACCCCAGGGGGTTCGGCTGAAGGCTTTGGGATGCTTTCGGCTGAAGGCTTCGGGGATGCGAAGTTTAAGTCTAGGGATGCTAATGTCCTGGAAGCTTGAAGGTTTGAGGCTTGAAAGTTCTACCAGGTCGCGGATGAGCTCGGTGTAGGTTACCAAGCACACCTCACAGCCCTCAGAAGCCTAAACTGCTGGCCATTCCTGTCGCGGCTCGAGCGTCGTCGCGACGAGCCTGCAAGCAGGGTTTCGAGTCTAACTGTCTGGGGCTTAGAGGTAACCGATATCATGTTTACCGAATCGACTCTTATGTAGGGTAGGGCTGAGGGCTTTGAGTGTTTTAGGGTGCAATTCGGCTGCGAAACTTGTTAAACTACTGCGGCTTCTCCGCGCTAGCTGTGGACACCAACTGCTGCGAAGCGTAAGCCCTCAACCCGCCAAGACCCCAAGAACAAAGAACTCACCCAGCAGTTCTGGACCTGCGCAAGCCTGAAAACGGGGCCTGGAAGCTTGAAACGATCCCAAGTCCCTGGACTCTGGACCCTACAACCACAAACCCATCAACCCTAAGCCCTAAAAACCCTACCTTGTTGAGGCCCTCGCCTCAGGTTCGCCAAGCTGGCGAGGAGGGCCGCGCCTCGGGGAGTGCAACTGAACCTGGGGGTTTGGGGCCTTAGGGTTTAGGATTTAGAGGTTAGGGTTGAAAAGGCCTTAGGGTTTAGGATGTAGAGTTTAGGGTTCAGGATTTAGGGTGTTAGGGTTTAGTTTGGGATTAAGACTTGCCGGAACCAACTACGCGTTATATTGGACTGCCTGAGTACCTACAATTAAGGTCAAACCCTATTGAGGGTACGTAGTCGGGGGGGTCTAGAACGATCATGAACTCATTAAGTACCTGGTATTAAGGTCAAACCCTATTGTGGGTACACAGTAGGGGGCCTAGAAAAGGTGGGCACTCCTTTGCTCGACTCACGTGGTTGTTGTATGCGCTCTGACTCAGCGCACTGTTCTCCTGGCATTTCGCGCCTCGTTTTCTTAGCTTCTCTTGGGTCTGTTTCTGGAGCAGGGCTCGGGAATAAACAAGGGTCCTAAGCCAGGAAGCTGTGAACCCCTATCGCATTCACTGTTTTGGATCGCAGGCTTGAAAACTTCGTATCAGGATAAAGAAAGATAGGGATTCCGGGGGTTTAAGCATGAAGCTTCGCGGAGAAGCCTCCAGGGTCACAGAAGTTTGCCTTGTTCCAGGGCAACCTAGCCGATGCCAAGTCACTCAATAAGAGGAACAAACCAGCCCATGTCATCAAATTCTCCAGGGTCACAGAAACCGAGACCAAGCCACCAAGATAGTTTCCCAAAACCCAAAACCCTAAACCCTAAAACACACTTCGACGCCTCGACGGCACAAGCCTGAACACTTCTCCTGAGACTGAGTGTCGCGCTGTAGCTGAGGTCTCCATCGCCCACGACCAGGACCTGCCCCGACCCCGCGCCCGCTTCCAGACCAAGGACCTCCAAACCCTAAACCCTAAACCCTAAACCCCAAACCCTAAACCCTAAACCCTGAACCCTAAACCCTAAAACGCAAACCTCAAGATTTGTAGGGTAGACAGGAAGATGGGGTTCATTGGGGTTCGTAGGGTTGATCCGGAAATTCGGGGCTTCTTCGCTCGAGCTCTCAAGGGAGAGCCTTCTCGCCAGTCGCGGATGGCTCAGCTGCAGGGTGAGGCCACCCGAGCCCCATGGGCTGAAAGATGCAGAGGGCTCACCCCAGACCCCTAAGTACTGAGTGTTGGTCTAGGGTTTTGAGAGAACCCTGAACCCTAAATCTTACACAGCCTGTAATGTCTGGGGCACAGACTTCGGCTTTCGGGCTTCTTATGACAAAAAGACTTCCACCACGGCCTAACCCTAAACCAAAAAGCAACTGCATGTTGCCGAACTTCCAGGACATTCCAACCGACGTGTTTCCCGCACCGGGGTCTAAAAACAGGTCATTTCGCCGGGAGGACGATAAGGGAACATTCCCCCTCGTGTTCAGATGTACACGAAATGGTACAATTATTCTCTTGTGCATGACTGAAGACCCAGGCTGAAGGTATGCAACTTGCACTCGCGCATTTTTAGTCCGTGCGCAACCAGTGCACACACACCAGCCACGCATACCGCTGGAGCACTGTAAGCCCGAGCCGTTTGGGGTGACACATTATCGCCAACCTTAGATGACATGTCTTAAGAGGATCCCAATCATGGTCACTCCAGCACTTGTGCTGAAATTCGTGGCAAGACACTTCTTCATCCTCCCCACGAGGTCTTCTTCCGAATAGTTTGAGGTTTGAAGGGGGTTCATTTGTGGTGAAGCATCGAAAGTCATGTGTTCCATCCTAGGCGAGAGCAAGCAGCAGTGCGGGAGTTGTCCATTAATACAAACATGCGAGACAGACTTGACGCATATATACATGCGTGCAGAGGGTGCAGCAAGGGAGCTGATGACACTTAGGTCGCACCTTCCAGAGCATCTTTTTGTCGCGAATGGCCTCTGCAGCCAAACCTGCAGCAACAGATCGAGTCCACAAGTCCGCAACATGATCGACAATCTACACGCGGTGGAGAAGCATATGATGCTCAGGTCCACACAGTTTAAGCTATCTTGATACATGTCGTTCCAATATTCCAGACTTCGAAGTTCCAGCTCGGTGAGATAGAAATCAGCGTCGCTTAAGACCGCACGATAGGAAGCCAGTGCAAGGAAGACAGCCGCACGGAGGTTCGCATGTTGGGTTTGGCAACGCACCGCTTCTCGGGCACACACATCCGCCAACCACCGCACAAGTACGACAGATTCCTCGGCTGCAGCGACTAGTGAAAATGACATGTGTTTAGAAATCGGAAAATTTTCACGCATATTGAGGAAATATAGATGTTCATTCCTTGTCGAGCATCAGCTCCGCTCAGGTGCTTCTGAGCAAACGTAGGAAATCGTTGAGAATTCGCCTTGATGGCATCCAGTTGGAAAGGAGGAGCCCGAGCGCCTCATGACAATTGGCACGCAACGCGGGTTTAGGGTTTAAAGGTTTAGGACTTTAGGGTTTCGGGGATTAGGGTTTAGGGATTTTACTGCATGCCGTGTTGCGAACACCAACATTCTTGCACATGGCAATGTAGTCCGCGTACGCAGCGCTCAAGCGGCTTTGCTGGGACGTGCCAGACCAGGGCAGCTGCGACTCCGTCAGCTCCAGTAAGGCCTCGATATGGAAGAACAAACAACAAGATTGCCATATGCGTTCCAACCCAATATATGACGTCAAGGCCCGAAAGCCTAAAACCCTAAAACCCTACAACCCTACAACCCTAAATTTCTAAAACCCTAGAGCCTAAACCTCTAAGCCCATTTAAATCGAAGCTGCGTGGAGTTAGCAGCTGTCGCCGAAACCCAAGGAGCTTATCACTCCAGGAGCTTATTCCTCTAAGCCTTGAACCCTAAACCCTAACCCGACATCCCTAGCTCAAAACCACATCTAGACTCAGCATTGCTTCAGCCATGCCGGGCCGCGGAAGCAGCTGCCTCCGGGGCGAGCGTGAGATCGATGACATGAAGGATATCTGGCCAGACCCTGCTGAGGGAGATGCCCGGCACAAGAATCCATGCAGATTTCCGGGCCATTTGCACGAAATCGGCGTCCGATCGCATCCTCGATATGTAGGGTATTTTTTGCGTTTAGGGTTATAGCTATATAGAGGGCTTGAGGTTTATAAGGGTTTATAGGCTTAACAGCACCGTGGAATATTACATTTCCGAACAATTTGTCTACATCGCTGTGCGTCAGGTTGCGTGTCACGGTGTGCCGCCCGACGTCCATGATTTGTGTAGAGTAGCGGCGATCCAGAGGTTCTAGTCGCCTGTCAGGGATGAGGTACCAATTATAAGGGTTTATTTTGTTTCGGGGGCGGGGGGGCGGGGGGGGGGGGGGTTGGTGCGGTTTCGACCACACACACACACTGACCTCACAGTACCAGCAGATGTTGTCGCTGACCCATGACTGGTCGATGCATAGTGTCTTCTTCAGAAATTGTTGATCGCCCTTTAATCCGGAAAGCACGAAGCGATACCCACCCGCAAGTGTGTACGGCGCCGGCGCATCCACCAAAGGTCTGCCCCAGCAGTCAAAGCTAAACGTAGTGCCGTGTTGTAGTTGCGAAAGGGACCACACGAGGTGCATGTCCAGTTGCGCCACCTATAAACCATGCATTGCATGTATGTAATACACCCTGCATACATATAGTGGTTTAAATTCGAGTGTATGGATCGAAATTTCCGCGTATACCAATATTGCAGAATTGCAGCCGTGGCGCTGTGCCAGATCCCGTCTGATCACTGTCCATGATATACATTGGAAACAGAGTCCTCATCGTTGCCCCCTTTGTGATGGGGGATCTCAAACTAACGACAAGAAAAGATCGGCGTCGATGACTCTCCGCATCGTCACCATGGACTTCGAGCGGAACAACTCGTGAAAGGTCGTTCTCCTGGAGCATTCGATCGTTAACCCTCAACCCTAAACTACGCCCTATATACCCTAAACCCAAAAACCCTTAACCCTGACCCCAAACCCGGTACCCGGCCGACGGCCTAGCAATATTTAACACGCACGCACGCAGCGCACACCGTATTAACCCGACGGTACCCTTGTACAAAGAGATGGATCCGAGGACTCGCTGGATCAATGATCGAATGCTGGCAAGAGACGTGGAGGCCGGCCAGTAGTGGGTGGTTTTTGAACCACCTATAGGCTATGTAGGGATCGATGCTTTCTGACCACACATGCGTGCCTACTGCCACATGCACTTCGACAGCAAACATAGGCCAGTGACGCTGTGTTGCGATTGTGCTGCCAGAACCGCTCCAGTTCCTGTAGCATAGCAGGTACTGCACGCATGCACCTGTGTGTCAGATTGCATGCACATATCGACATCTGCTAGCTTAAAGGCACGCCGCCCCAGGCTCTCCGAGAAAGAACTTCTGAAATCGCTCGAAGGAATAGCCATGTATACAGTGGATCCTTGGGTCGCACAGGTTGATGAACATGCGCAGCGCTGATAACCAGATAATCATGTGCACGTGTGGACCGAACGATGAATTGCGGTCATCAGCGCACTTCGTGAGGAAAGAACATGTGCCATTTTCCAATGTAGTCCTGCTCTTCCTTCTTCTTCGTTTTGTCACGGAGAATCACTTCGACCCTCGGATGCGTGCATCGTGACCACATGCATGCACTCATGCACACATGCATGCGCACGTATGTCTTAAAGATCTCGATGGGTTCAAGCCTAGACTCTCCCGCGGCTGCGGCAAGCTTTTCCGCCATTCCTGGCGCTCCACCCACCTGTTGAAGTTGCGAAAGATGTTGTTGTCCTTCGCGTACCCAGCGAGGTCAACGAGGTTAGCCCTGGGAACAGAACTCATATAATGGTGGGGCGCCGCACGCATGCACCGTGTACTGTAGAACACATGCAGCCAGGCTGCGGCAAAAAACCATGTGGAACACGGCTTGCAATGGAGTCAACAAGCTCCTTCAGCTTCTTCGTCGAAAGTGTTCGCCCCAGGTCTAGAATCTCCTCGATCAAGTCCATGAATCATATCGATCCCCCACCACGCAGGCCGGCCACATCGAGATGAAGACATCGTCGTGGCAACAGGGCTCGCAGGAGGGATTAATGAGGGTCTGGCTTTAACGGGTCTAGGGTACCGAGGCCGAGTAAAAACAAAATTATGTGTTTTTTTTGTCGGCAGTGGGGTTATAAGGGTTTAGGGTTAGGGTTTGGGGTTGATGGGGAGTTGGTTGGGGGGGGGTTGGGTGGGTTGTTGGCAGCCTGAGAACCCCAAGCCCCAAACCCACTACACCCCATACGGCTCTGCGCCTCGCGGCTCAGCTAGCCTGAGAAGCCCAAACCCCGAACCCAGTAAAACCGATTAATTTGAGGGTTTAGGGTTTGGTGTTTGAGGGTTGAGGGTTTAGGGTTGAATTAGGGTTATATAGTTTTGGGGTTAGGGATCCTCGAGGTGGAGGGTTTGGGGTTTGAGGGTTCGGGCAGGTTTTCTACCTGGAGTCCAGATCTTCCAATTACACAGACATGCTCCGCCACACACACAGACACAGAAACGTGCACGGCACACAGTACTGCATGCATGCACATCGATCGGTGATTCTGCACGAGGCGCACTGCCAGCGTCACGAATCTTAATGACGATCGACTGGATCACATGCCAGGCACCGATGTGAAAGTCACTGAGACATTCCGCACGGTGCACAATATATGCATATGATGGTGAATGCCACGCATGAGATCCAGGCCGAGAGGCTTGCATCTAGGCCACGCTTGTGCGAAGGAGCGCACATGAGGTGACAGTGAAAAGCCCTAGTGCAGGGGATTGTGCCCTGTTACCTTGACACCTGCAGCAGATCCTCATACAGCTGTATACCGTGAATGCTTGCAGATTCTCACATGCTGCTCACTGCAAGTGAACACAGGCCAGGCCAGGCAATTAAACAACTGTCGTCGATCGTTGGATCAAACCACGATCTAACCACGATCTTGTCGTATCGATCACGTGCATGCGCTCGACCTGGCGGTTTAGGGTTTAGGGTTGAGGGTACATGTTGGAGGGTTTAGGGGACTAGTGGCCGGGTAGCCTTGTTTATACATGTACATGCCTGCGAGTTTTCAGACACAAGGGCCGAGCCTGCATGTGGAGCCCCTAATCCCGATCAGTGACGGAGTCGCCAGCCTCTGACCTCGCACCCTCAGGCTTCTTGCCGATTCTCTTCCGGGCTTCTTTCATGCATTGGTCCACCGGTCGCAGCTCCTCCTCCATTAAGGAAATAACAGAGTTCTTGCGGTCCAAGTCTGCGTTCTCATCGACCTGGGGGTTTACGATATTCGGGTGTTTAGGGCAATCCTCTACTATATATATATATATACACAGAACCCTAAACCCTAAACCCTAAACCCTAAACCCTAAACCCCTATTCTCGTAAAACCCCACAGGCCTGTTGGTCCCAGTAGACTTGTCTGCCATCCACGGCATTCTTGTGCTTCTCCAACTCCTCAGCCAGCTCGGAACTGAACTTCACGCTCTTGAGGTCGTCGATCTGCTGCTCCAGCTTCTTCGGCAGACTCAAAAACCTTGGCAGCACTAAATTCCGATTTATCGAAGCTAGGTTTTAGGGGCTTTGGCCTGGGGTTTTGGAGTTTGAAGCTCCAGGCTTGGCCATACAGGGCCTGTAAGGGTAAGGGCTAGGGTTGGGGGTTTAGGGTTGAGGAGTTCAGGTTTCGCGGGCCCAGGGTTTAGGGTCTAGGGCTTAGGGTTTAGTGTTAAATCCTAAACCCTAAACCCTAAACTATGTGGTTTCCCCCATACAGACCGGGGCTGGTTCGAGGGATATAGCGCGATCGGGAAAGAATTACATTTGGGTTGCGAGTCCCATCGGAGAGATGAAAGAGGCCCAAAGCCCTATATATATAAACAAAATACATGTTAACATAATTTAAGAAAACCTCGCTTCAAACCCCCACCCCCCGTGCACCACTTTCGATCTAGGGTCTCCTTAAGAATTGCAGGGCTATGCGCATGCATGTGTCAGGGATAACGAATCCCTAAACCCTAAACCCTATTTATGACCTTTACAAGTTTACCGGTCCTGCCCAATTCCCCATTTGCATGTTCAAGGTATACGAACTGCAGCTCACTGACAGCAGATGACCTGATCGGCACAGAGGGCCGCCCGGCTACGTTTGTAAGATTGCAGTACGACGCAGCATGAGAACCCTAAGCCCTAAACCCTATAGACCCTAGCCTAATGAAACCTTAAACCCTATAAACCCTAAACCCTAAAACCCCCAACTGCACACACACTCTCAGTCTGGGACTGCTTGAAGAGTTTGGTCAGCCGTCGATTGGCTTCTTCGTCGGGCGTAATCACTTTCTTTGCCTTTCTCTTTGGCATACGGATGTCTCCCATTTCTTTCATACCAGCAGCCATAGCATCGGCGAAGTCATCCACGTGCTGCTGCAGGCCTGCGCGGGCTTCACCCTCCACGGATGCAGCCATCTTCACCTCTTGCGTGCTTGGAGCGTTGGCTGCAATTATAGGGCATAATGGTAGGGTACCGTTTATATAGGGTTTATGCGGTTTCGGCTTTTAGGGGTCTAAGGGCCGGTTTTGGTTTGCAAAATAATTATATATAGCACCTCGAACTGAGCTAGGGTTTAGGATATATATGGTACAGGCTATACGGTTTAGGGAATTATAAGGGCCCTGGTGGCTCTGCAAAACTGGAGCGCCTCCGTTCCAGAGGTCCTGCAATGGCCCTTGTCGTTCACGGTATCCTTGAGGACACGCACCCGCCTGGCGGGTTCAAACCCTGGCGCTTGTGGATGCGGCTGAGGCGTTTGTCCTGAAAAGGCACGCATGATCAACGCAGTCGCAGTTACACAGAATCAAGGGCGTGGCTCTCGAGCAAGAATAATTCTTGTTCTATCCACATGCATGAGCGGTCCTTGCAAGAGGATCTTAATAAATTCTTCTCCGTCTGGTCCTGGGTATTCATTTCGCAATTGCATCAGCGTCACCTTAGTTGCTATATACGCGCAAGATACCTGCCTAGGGCAAGAGGGCTAAACTTAGGGTTTAGGGTTTAGGGTTTAGGGTTTAGGGTTTAGGGTTTAGGGTTTAGGGTGTAGGGGTTAAGTTTAGGGTTTAGGGTTTAGGGTTTAGGGTTTAGGGTTTAGGGTTTAGGGTTTAGGGTAATTAGGGTAATTAGGGTTTAGGGTTTAATTAGGGTTTAGGGGCATGCGTGCCAGCATGCAGTTGCAATTGCATCTATATGTTTTACGCACGTGGTCCAAGTCGCAGTCCGGTATCGGTCCTTGTTCTCGTCGATAGCAACATCGGTGATCTTCTCTTGCACGCACACGTCCGATCCGCTCGATTGCAACATCCAGTCCTTCAGGAACTGGAACCTGCGCCAGGTAAACCTCGAGCTAATGGTTAACCTTATAGAGTGGATTTGCACAGTCATGGCATCTCAGCGAGAGAGAGATCGAGAGAGAGAGAGAGAGAGAGAGAGAGAGAGAGAGAGAGGAATAACGATGAGAGGACAAAGCCTCTCTGCGTCGCTCTTCAGAATTTTGTATTTACCTGCTAACTCGGCATCCATC